CTGCAAAATTTCTGTGCTTATGCGTTTACGCATGCGCGTTTAATGTATAATGGACGGTATAAGCTAAGCTAAAATTACCTAATTATCTATTTCAGTTAATGTTGCAGATTGCGTTGTTCCTTAATCTTCTAATTAGATCCGGCTTATTATTTTTTGCAGACTGTTAGAGCAATTTCATAAAAGTAAACTTGAACTTTCGATTATGTCAAATAGAATTTCCGATTCTGGAGCTCCCAAAGGATCGTACAAAACGAAAGTATGTTTCGATGTCCATCAAACAAAAAGTGGAATTGCTGCAAAAAATGGATAAAGACATGAAGAATGTGACAGAGAGGTTAGTGAAAACAAAAAAATTTCGATTGACAAGTTAGTCGGTATTCTCGGCACAGCAATTAACGGGACTTGAACAGCGGAAGGAACTTTGTAACTGAACAAAAATTATGTCTGTTTATAGAATTAAAGGGAAAGTATTATCACATAAAACGAAGCAACAACTTAAACAACTTACATTGAAAGAAATGTTTAATAAAGTAAACAAATAAATATTAAGCTTTTTTTTGTAAATTTTGATACCCTTTAGATCATAATTGTTCTTTATTTCATAAATTACGGTTTCATATTTTTAATTTTATAATTTCTGCATGCCATCTTACGCGATTTAAACTGATGATCTATAATCCGGAAAAATCGCTAATCCGGAATCGAAGTCCCGACGAGTCCGGATTAACGACTTTTGACTGTATATGTATATATTTATACTAGCTGTTGCCTTCCATGCATTGCGGCGCTACGTAAAGGAAAGAAAGTGTGTTTTAATTCTGTTATCAAAAAAAAATTTTTTATGCATGTCTTGATTTTCTTAAGTCACCTGATACCAAGGTTGATAATGGTTTAGGTGGTGAATTTAAGTCTAGCAATTTCACTTTTCCACCCACGCAACACATTCCTGGTGCTTCATTCTTAAATCTGAGGACTCTGCATTACATGCATAATTTCTTGATTAATAATACGTGCATTGTTCCAACTATCACATTCCAACTATCACATTTGGATGCAGACTGCATGTTAATGTGTGAAAAAATAAATATTTTATGCTTTGCAGAATGATAAAACATTTTAAATTATTATAATTTTAGCTGTGGGAGCACTATTTTTTTATTTACGATTAAATTTTTTTATTTAAATTTGAATCATATATGTTACGTTTTGCAGAGTGGCAATGCAAAGTTTTTAAATTGCCAAGTTTTTAATAAAAAATTCATTAAATTAGTATAAAATATATGTATATAAAGAGTGGGGACCCCATGGGCTAGTTTTTGAGAAATCTTATGTAGACATTGATCTTTGTTTTGTTTTGAAGATTGAGTGTAGCAAGTTTCATAAAGATTGGAATTAAAATGTAGATTTGTATTGACAAACATATATTTATGTATGTGCATAGACAGAGGGAGACAAATACTTTTTAATGACCAGTGGTTGTAGGTGGTGTTTGCATACAGAATGGTAAATGCATAGTAGAAGGATCGAACTTGGACATTCCGTGTTGACATTGCTATCAAGGAAAAATGCCGAACTGAGTTCCAGCACAATGTTCCATCAAGATAATGCAAGACCACATGTGTCTGCATTCACCGTCTACACTTAGTACGGACTTGAATAGGATATTTTGCCTCAGCCCTGACACCATACAACCCCTACATTGCTCCTTCAGACTTCTACTTTTTTTTTTACACCTGCAGCTATATCTTGCTGGTGCTATCTTCCATTCTGCACAGGATGTCTGAAATGTGGATGATTTGTTCTTAGACTTGCTGCTACCAAGTTTTTGGCATGAAGGCTTTGAAAAACTACCAAAACGTTGGCAGAAAAATCATAGATTTGAGTGGTAATTACTACCCACACTAAAGATACTGCTTTCATGATTTTTTCCTAACTGCATTAAGAACTTTTTTTGGCGGAAAACTTTCATTCCAACCAGATATGTCACATCAGTCAATGCAACATACAAATTTTTTACATCTTGTTTACACATAGTAAATCAGTGTAGTTTTAGAGTTAAGTTTCAGGAATGTCCCACTTCTGATTTCTGTTAGCTTCTTGTGTATTTAAATAACTCATACGGCATTTTTAAAAGACAACAAACATTCATTGAAAGATGAATCCACTTGTAATGTATTTTTTTAGGCTGACACATAACCTAAACATATATAAACAGCAGACATTCTTATTGCACTGTATATATCTACAGTCAAAAGTCTTTAATCCGGACTCGTCAGGACTTCGGCGATTCCGGATTATCGATTTTTCCGGATTATAGATCATCAATTTAATCCTTTGCAGCTCAGTGTTCCCCCACATGGAACACCCAAATTGAATCTCTTCTGAAACCCCTACAAATTCAACTGTAAATAGATAAAAATGCCTTTATAATATACTTTGAACTTTTCTTTTTAAACAGTAGATAGCAGCATATCACGAGACACGGAATTTTCATCTATTATGTGTTATTAAAATCCACTTTTTTCAAGTAATTTTCTCTATTTTTTAATGATATAAAAAATTTTATTTAGAAAAAAAATTAGGCATAATTTTGCTGGCTGTACTCCAAATTATTTGTTCTATATTTTTTTTAATCTTTCATACAAAACCATACGCAGAATCATAGAATAAAACTGGGTGTTCCATTAGCGGGAACACTGCGCCTTTAGCGATCTCATGCTGTTATGAATCGGGGCTTAGGAGAGAAGATCCGTTGTTTACGTTTTCTGTTTCCTTTTTTTTGGGGGGGGGTGAATTCAAACAAAGCAGTATTGAGGGGTAAGGTGTGTTTTGTGTTATAAAAGCCCTAATTTTGGCATCTCGAATTTTTTGGGAGTAGTTTTTAGGGGGGAATTTTATTAGTGCTTGACTCATCTTAACTTAGACCTGCACGAATTTTTGCTGTCGCATTTTAGTCTCATTCCCGTTTTATTTTCAATAATTGTGTAGATATTTTTCGTGTATGCATATATTTTAGGCTTATTTTTCTTTAATATTAATCGTAGTTAATTTTTTTATGATTAATTTTCCATAAATGGCGCAGAGAGGTCTCTTTCCGAAAATTTGTAGATATTTTTGTATATAGGACTTGTGTATATACATATTTATCTCATTTATCTCTATATATTCAAGAATATTGTGTATATCCAGGAAACCATGTATACAGCCATAATACAGAGTTTTTTCATTCTTGTACAAGCGCTTCTACTCATTTTCGTGCTTCTCTACAATGCTCGCTTAGTCGCAATTTTAAAAGCTCTGGCGGCACAGTGTTCCACCTCATGTATTCTGTGGGTGATCCACCTCATGGAACACCCACAGAATTAAATTGATAAGTACAATTTTTACAAAATTTTACCTGTATACTCCTTTAGGACTAAATAGACTGCATACAACTTTTTTTGTTGAAATTCCGACGTTAATGTATAGTGCGCCACAAAGGGTTAAATCTGGTAAGATGGCATGCAGAAATTATAAAATTAAAAATATGAAACCGTAATTTATGAAATAAAGAACAATTATGATCTAAAGGGTATCAAAATTTACAAAAAAAAAAGCTTAATATTTATTTGTTTACTTTATTAAACATTTCTTTCAACACTCGCATGCGTAAAGCATACATTACGCATATTAGAAATTAGAAAATTGCAACCAGAAAACTAGTTGATGTGTATTCGTCATATGACGAGGAGTTTGATTTAAATCATATCAAAGACAGAGTCAACAAAATAAAAAAAAAGCTTAATATTTATTTGTTTACTTTATTAAAAATTCTTTCAACGTGCGCATGCGTACAGCATACATTACGCATAGTCGAAATTAGAAAATTGCAACCAGAAAACTATTTGATATGTATTCGTGATATTTATAATGAATTTGATTTAAATCATATCGAAGACGGAGTACATCGAGATGAAACACTACATTTAGTAAGAAACAATTTAGTAATAAATAAATAATAAAATAAAAATATCTGCCCTGAGATCAAGGATAGTGCTACAGTTCATCTTCGCAACGCTTCAACGTGCGCCACCCGTTCCCCCCCCGCACTTCAGCGTGAAATTGATAAACAGATTTTGGAATGGTTAGAGAAACAAATCACCTCTCCGTAACTTTCTTCATGCCTTTATCCATTTTTTGCAGCAAGTTCCACTTGTTGTTTCATGGACATCGAGACATGCTTTTGCTTTCTAGATCCTTTGGCACCTCCAGAATCGGAAATTCTTTTTGACATAATCGAACGTTCAAGCTTACTTTTATAAAATTGCTCTAACAGTCTGCAAAAAATAATAAGCCGGATCCAATTCGAAGATTAAGGAAGAACGCAGTCTGCAACATTAACTAAAATAGATAATTAGATAATTTTAGCTTAGCTTATATACCGTCCGTTATACATTAAACGCTATACATGTACGCATGTGTAAACGTATTATACGCATGCGTACATGCATATGCACATGCGTAAAGGTATTACGAGCATGCATGAATGCATTATGTGTTGATGCATGCGCAGAAAGTTTGTAGCTTTGTGTTCCAGATTATAGATCATTCCGGATTATGGGCGTCCAGATTAATGACTTTTGACTGTATATATTTTAGATTGTAAACAAAACGATCACTGGAACTAGGTGTTGCTATTTTTAGTTGCCATTCTGTCTAATCACAACTTTTAGTTGTCATTCTGTCTAATCACAACTTTTAATTTACTGTCATGCACATATATGTATACAGATGCATATATTTAGAGAGAGGAGAGATAAAAGTTATATCTCTTCTTATTTGAAGTTTGTTAAACTACTTTTTGATGCAGTCCTACTCTTTAATAATTATTTTGATATATTTTATTTTTCTCTGACAATATGTTATTTTGATTTATTTTATTTTTCTCTGATGATATGTCGTATATGCTAATTTTGCTTTATTTTATCCATCATTATTACATATTTTTTAAACACTTACAGGTTCAAGAAAGTAAAATAAAGCGCCGCTTTGGTGGAAGTAATACAAGCAGTGCTTCTTCATCCATTTCTGGAACACCCAAAAAGAACATTTCAGATCCCTTATCTACTTTTCATCCACTAAGCTCAGCTTTAGATGGCACTGATCCACTTTCACAATTTGCAGCTGGTTTGGATCCTCTTAGTCAAATGGCAGAGGAACATGAAAGAGCTGTTAGTAAGATAATGTTAAAGTTATATTTTAGACTAAAAAATTTTCTTTTAATATCATTCCTTGATTAAGCATTTAGAAAATATCCGACATAAGATTCCCCCCTCTTACAATGTATATTCTATTTATTTAGAAGAAACTGCATAATACATATGTTATGCAATTGCGTGAAATAGCTAGGCAGGAAAAGAAATTGTAATTGTTCTAAGAGAGCAGTGTGAAATTGGGCCTATTATGTGCATAGTGAATCATATCAGTTAAAGGCTTGAGTTTTCAAGCAACTTCAAACTAGGTTTTCTTTTCTTTATTTTAAAAATACTAGGGTTGTTTATGGTTACTAGATTTGCTTTAGAACACTTATTAAAAGAAATTCAGTATTTATATATGAGCCTGAAATAATTGTTGAAATATAGATTAATACTGGAATTATTTTCATCATGATTGAACTCAAATAACTTCAAAAGCAAAAGATAAAATTTTAATATTTTGAAGCACAAAAGACCATATGACATTTAATAATTAAAAGCAATACCATATCAAAATAGCTTTAACCACTAACAGTTTTACCTGAACACTGGTTGCCGCGAAAGGGGACTTCCCTTGTCCATATACCTTTTGGGCATTGTATTTTCTTATATCATTCTACTGATTTTCTCAGTTTTTTCACTTTTTTATAGTATTTCTGATAGATATCTCTAGTAATCCATGAGGGTTTGGATTGCAAAACTAGTTCAAGGACATTTTTTACTGCTTGTCGTTTAGGCAAGAAAATTGAGCGAATTTGTTTGCACAACTTCATTATATTATGCTTTGCAAATAGTATTAATTTCCCAGTTTTGTCATAAAATATAAGAAGGATAGGTGACACTGAGTGGATCATAACAAAATATAATTCTGATATTGGATCGGATAGCAAATTGGAAATTTCTCTCTAAATGATTCTGGTAGTTGTGAAGTTCATTATTGGAATTCTCTTGTGATGAGGTATAGGTAAGTTTAGATGATCAAACTCAGGTTCATAACTTCCGTGAAATGGATTTATTTTCACAGCAAATCCTGCTATTTATTTGAATACTTATTAAACTAATTATGATTATAATTAAATTAGACTTATTCTAATTATATTTTGTTACGATATTTTTTTGATGATAACCTTGAAATGATAGTTTCTGAAAGTAACAAATATGCAGATAAAAGTATTCAAAACAATAGTCAGGGGAGAAAATGGGAAGCAATATCAAAAAACAAAATTTGAGTCTTTCTTACTTTGAAAATTTTACAAGAAATTGTTAAAAAGCCTGATATTGAGCAATATTGGAACAGGAGACATTCAGTATCAATGCCATTTTTTTCCCAAAAATTATATCTTATCATTTTCATCTCATTTTTTTAAATAATGACGAATTTGATGCTGAAACACGATTGTCTCGAATTACAAAAACTTCGCACTGTAATCAAGCATTTAAATTCTCGTTATCGGGAAATTATCACACCAGAAAGATATGTAACAGTCATCGAGAGTCTTATGCTGTTCTAAGGGCAATTACACTGGCAATACATGATCATGGCAAAAAATCTTTTATGCTTTTCAAATCAAAGTTGGGTTATTTATGCTTTGCAAATCAAAGTTGGGATCCGTATCACAATGTCATTCAATCTGTTGAGGAGTGTATAGGGACACTCCCAATGCGCCTGCAGTGTGGGAGAAATGCTCTTACGACGACTTGGATTCCACAGCCAAACCTTGTCGTTTTCCTGGACGGTAAGCAAGCAGGAACCCCTGTTCCTTGCGATCCCAGTCTTCTTTCTTGTTTTATGGAAACCATGAGTGAGAGGTGGTTCAGGATTGTACCGTTAAACCTCTCCACCATGCCATCAGACTGTGGATGTAGCGGGGTCGTCTGCATTTTCTTGATTTCCAACAAGTCGCAGAGTCCCTTAAACACAGCTGAAGTGAAGTTCCTGCCTTGGTCAGAATGAATCTGGAGGGGGGGGGGTCCCAAATCTGGACACCCAATTCTGTAACAGAACTTCAGCTGTCGTGACAGCCTCTTGATCTGGAACTGGGAGCTTCGGGCCACTTTGTAAAGTAATCCATGACAACGAGGATGTATTTGTTGCCATCCGTGGTCCGAGGAAAAGGTCCAAGTATGTCGATAGCAATTTGCTCGAAAGGTGCTCCTACATTGTATCACTGCAGCCATCCTCGGCTACGTCCCTTCGATCCTTTCCTGGCTGCGCAAGCATCACAAGACCAGCACCACTTCTCAACATTGTTTCTTGCTGAACTCCAGAAGAAGCGCTCTCAGACCTTGTTTAGTGTCTTCATACAGACGAAATGCCCTCCTGTTGAGCTACTGTGTATTTCCTTCAGAACATGAGGTATTCGGTTTCGAGGAAGCAGCAGCTGCCATCTCATATTAGTTCCATCGTCGCTTTCCCATAGTTGATATGAGACTCCATTTCGGAAGTGGAGTGAATCTCAGGGAGCCCAGTACCTTTTAGTTGCAGGACTGAAAATGGAAATGTCCTGCCACTTGGGTTTTGTACTGGATGATTCCTTCAGTTCTGTTATTGGCTTAATGACAGGTTCTACTGATTGGTCTTCTCTAACTTTTTCATCATTCCACAGATCTGGATCAGTTGATTGATTTTGAAGATGTTACTTGCCGGATACTCGGATTCACCAACCCATACTTAGCCTCAGCTCTTGAACAATGCCTGCAGTGTGCAGGACAAGGCTTTCTGGATTCAGCATCCGCATTTCCGTGGGAGGAGCCTTTGCAATGTTTTATCTGAAAGTTGTATTCCTGGAGTCTTTGAACCCATCTGGCTATTTGTCCTTCGGGATTTTTGAAATTCAGTAGCCAGGTTAGAGAAGCATGGTCAGTCCTCAATAAGAATTTTCTGCCATAGAGATAATGATAGAAATGTTTTATGGCCTTCACGATAGCAAGCAATTCTTTACGGGTGACACAATAATTCCTTTCCAGTTTGGACAAGCACTTACTCCAATAGGCTATTACTCGCTCTTGACCATTAATCATTTGAGAAAGGACAGCTCCCATACTTTCATTGCTTGCAGCTGTGTCTAATATAAATTCTTTGGGGATATGCGACCACGGGCATAGATGTTAATGCCATCTTTAATTGGTTCGTTCAATTGGTTGAAGTTCAAGGACTTCTCACACTCCTCAGTCCACACAAATTTTTGTTTATTTTCTGTTAATTTATGTAGAGGCCTTGCGATGTTGGAGAATCCCTTCATGAATCTTCTATAATAAGTACAGAGTCCCAGGAAGCTTCGTAGTTGATGAATATCCACAGGACGTTCCCAGTCCTGAATTGCCGACACCTTTTTTGGATCTATGCGGACACCTTCGGCAGAGATGACATGCTTGAGATAGGTAACTTTACTGAAGAACAACTTGTATTTCGAAGGACTCAGTTAAAGGTTGGCATCTCTCACTTTCTGGAACACCTTCCTGATATTTTCTAGATGTTCCTCGAAAGAACGGCCCACTATAATGATGTCGTCTAGGTAGACCAGACAGAATTCCTAAGATAGACCACGAAGCACTGTCTCCATCAGGCATTCAAATGTTGCAGGGGCGTTACAGAGTCCAAAAAAGGTATAACTCTAAACTGCCAGAGTCCTTGACCGGTAGTGAACGTAGTTTTCTCTCTATCATCGGGATGAATTTCCCCTTGCCAGTATCCACTCTTGAGATCCAGAGTGGAAAACCACTTGTGTCCTTATAAGGTGTCTAGAGTATCATCAATCCTGGGAAGAGGGTAACTGTCTTTCTTAGTGACATTATTTAGTCTCTGGTAGTCGACACAAAATCTTGTCGAGCCATCTTTCTTCCGGACGAGATATGTAGGAGATGCCCATGGACTTGTGGATGGTTCGATGATATCATTTTCTTGAATTTCCTTCAGAAGATTTCCAACCTCTTCCTGTTTTGCGAGTGATCCCCCGTATCAATTTGATGTTGCGTCAGTTTTGTGCGGCCAACGTCTCTGGATGACCTAGAAAATAGATCTTCAAATTCTTTAATTTGAACATCTATTTTAATTTAATTGTTTTCTCTGCCGCATGTCTTTGTTCATGGTTTAAATTTGCACTCTGCAGAAGTTCTTCCATTAATTTCCTATTTGCTTCAGTCGGAATTTCAAGTGGGGCTTTGTAAACGCAAGTAACTGGAGTGCATGCTGCTAGTACTTCACCCTTTTGGATGTTTCTCGGTCTGTGACTAACATTCGCCACTCTCACAGGGATGAAATCTTCCGAAAGGTCTACTAATTAGGAGGCCACTAATACCTCTCTTGGGCTATTTTCAGGGTATTCAATTAGTCCAAATCTGAAGCTATTCTTTTCTATGAAGCCGGCTATTAATAATTCTGTCATCGGAGGGAGGGTGACATCTGTTTTTGTTGTTACTTGGTGAGCTGAGGGAATGCTGCTCTTCATTTCAAACACAGTTATATCTTCTTTTGCAGAGCACATTTCATTACGTTTAAAGTCCAATGTAAAGTCGTACTTCCGCAAAATGTCCAATCCGAGTATTAATTCGTCCGTGATGTTAGCGACGAAAGCTAAGTTCTGGTACATCTCGTTTTTGAAGGAAATGATGATGTTAATTTTACCTTCAATGGGAATCTTATCATCTGTCACTGTTTGTAAAGTCACACAGGGCAGAGTCCAGCGCAACGTTTTGCTCAATTTTCGAGCTACATCTGTTCTCACGATTGTTATATTTGCTAACCAAAAGTTGAAGAAATAGGAAATGATGATTACAGTGTGAAAAAGGAAATTATTTCAGAAAATTCACTTTAAAGACTTCCTTCTCAAAATTTTTTGTAAGAAACAGGTGGGGCAGCTATTTTGTTGAGAGAAAAGTAATTGCTGGGGACACAAAGCAGTGCATGGAAACTTTTTATCAATGAAAACATATTGCATCATATACAGCAAAGCATTGAAACTGAGGCATATCAAATGTTGGGAAATCTGAAATGGAACTTATTGAGCTAGATGCTTTTATTGCTGTACTATATGCTTGTGGCATTTTGGTAGCCAAAGGACTTTCTGTTTTGATTTCATGGTCCAAATCCTGGTGCACAAAATTTAGTGAAACAATGTCTAGGGACAGACCCTTGGAAATAAGGAAATAGTTGCACTTTGACTTGAAATCAACTAGATTGTAAAGATTTCATGCTAATTCATTTGCTCTTTCTGTAGCAGTAAGGAATACTTTTATTGAGAATTGTTTGTGTTACAAAGAAGATGGAAATAAAATTGATGAGCAATTGTTCTCACAAAGGCAATATGCCACTCTATTCAATATATATGGAAAACCCAATAAATTGGGCTTTAAAATTTGGTGGTACTCTTTTGTTATCAGGACCAGATTAAGAAAGATATGTATGTATCTCCGTTTATGTGTATACACACATATATATAAGTACATGTATACATAAACACATACATCCATACATACAGGCATACATACATTTCTGAATCTGGTCCCCTGATAACAGAAGAGTATGAATTTGGCTTTTATTTGATGTAAAAACAAAATGTTTTGTAATTGGATATCCTTACTTGGGGAAAAGTTGAAAGCAGAGTTTTTTGGAGGATATGCTGTTTATCATTTGATTAAGCCCTTTTATAACACTGGAAAAAATATTGCAACAGGCAATTTCTTTACATCTTTGAATTGATAAAAATGTTAAAGAATAAAGTACCATATTTGACGGCATATAAGACGCACTTTTTTTCCTAAATTTGGTCTCAAAAAAGTTACCTGCGTCTTATACGTTAAGGTAATTGCATTCAATAATTGTTTATTTGGCTTTTACGAAGCGTGAGAACTAAAAGAAACCACGCTATTGAAACATTTTTTCCTTGTGTGTGGCCGTCTAAATAAGGGTGCGTCTTATATGCCATCAAATACGGTAATTAGTTAAAGTGGCACAGTCAATCATGCAAAAAATTTTGTGTAGGATATGAAATTAATTAATGGTTTATGTTATAAAAGAGAAATATTGCCATATAATTCTGTAAAAAAAATGAAATTTGTTTTAAATGAGTTTGATCCTGTATCAAAATAAGTTTAATAAACTTAATTTATTAAATTTATTTTCAATATTTTTTTTTAAAAAACTAATATGCTAGATTTTTTCCATTATTGACCACACAGCATAATTAGCTGTGAACCAAAAATGCTGTATTCCTGATGTTAAATTTTTCACTATCTATGATGCATTTGACCAGACTTAGATGAAACCAGATAAAACCCTAATTATCAGGTAGAGAAAGATATCAAAGTATGTTTATAATACACAAGACTTTTTGGGGAGAGGAGGGTGTAAGCCAGACAAAAGAAACTGGAGGCTGAGAAATTAAGCAAAATTTTAACAAAGAGCTTGCACGAGCCTCCTAAAGCTCACCATTGGATATATTGGGAGGGAGCAGAAAATTTGCTGATTATTATTTTCTTATCATTTTTGTTTTCAAAGAGGATGAAGAATTAGTTTTTTAATTTAAAAAAAGATAAAGATTTTATTAACGTTTGTGGATGTGGAAATTTGAAAATAGTGGATGTGCAATAGTTGGAAAAAAAAATCAAATGATTTTTGAAAAATTTCCAAAAATGAACAGTAAATTTAGTTAGATATTTATATTTAAATTTATTTGAAAGATTATCTCCCACTGTATCCAATAGTTCAAACAGTGGAATTCTGAGATTTATTTGTTAAGTAAAGGTATGCACAAAAAATTTATAAAATTTCAATTCAACAGTAAAATTAAAAAGTAAATCTAAATCAAATTTTGAAAAAAAAAATCACTTTGAGTCATGTTTTTGCCATCTGGACAATAACTATTCCAACTGGGCCTATCAGTATCCGCACTGCACTATGTAATATGGGCCATGCCCCCCCCCAAAAAAAAATAAATTTGTAAAATTTCAATTTAATAGTAAAATTAAAAAATAAACCTAAATCAAATTTTGAAAAAAAGGTAATTTTTCCATATGGACAGTAACTATGCCAACTGCGCCTATCCGTATCTGCATTGCACTATTAGATATGTGCCATACACACTGCGATAAATTCTGCCTTATCATCATGGATAGTATATTCAATGAATGGGTAAATAAAAGAAACTCATTGACAAAGAGAGTCCTAAATTGTCCTATACAATTTAGCATGCAAAACTGGCATATTTTATGTTTCTGTTTTAAAAATTGATCATATGGAAGTCTGGAAAATGGCGTTTGAAGTTTTGATGAAAGCAATGCTGCATTGCCAAATGTTGTTATTCTTTACAGTGTTTTAAATTTAACTATCTAAAGCTTTTTAGCAGTTAAATTTTTTTCATCCTTTATTTTTATGTGTGCAGGTTTAAAAATATTAAAAATTCAAGGTTGAAAGATACACATTGTTAGAAGTCTTGAGTAGGAATAATAGTTTAATTTCACAGTATTAAAAAAATAGTTTTTGATATGTATGAATAATTTTTATCTGTTTCCTACTGTTCAGTGTGTACGATTATACTTTTTTTTTAATGATTATAAATTATTTTTTTATTTAAGAAAGAACTTTCTGCTGCCCGAAAATGTCGTTTGGATGATACTTTTGAACCGTGGTCTACTAAGAAGGTAGCAATTTTAAGCAAGTTTACTACATCTGAGAAGCTGTCTATTGCAACTAGTTTTTTATCTGGTGGTGAAAAAGGTAATGGTTAAATTCAAGACTGAATTTTTCCTTTTTATATATTAAAATTTTTAATCTTGCATATTTTGTCCTTTTTTCTTTTAAATTTGCAGTTATTGGTAAAACTACTGCATCTGTGAGTGATAAAGTTAAAACTCGCCTGGAACAACTCGATGATTTTGAAGAGGTAAAATAGTGAATTCTTTGACGTATACTTTTTTACAATATTTTCTCATTTTTATTTATTGAACTGAAGCCTGTAGAGCAGGGGCTCTCAACTATGGGAGAATTGCCCCCTTGGGGGAGGAATTTCATAACTTTAGGAGGGAATTTCATTTTCCTCTTAAGTATTTCATTATAATATATCAATGTCTAGACAATATGTGTCTAGACATTCATAAATTTAACTACTTTTGCAGGTTTTGCTATTTATTAGTATTTTCTGTTTTTCTTCTTTAATGTATAAAACACATTAAAATAATACAAATTCAAATAAATCTATATTTTTTTTTTTTTGAGTTTTAAAGAAGAAGAGGGAATGATTATCTAGCAGTCGTGAAAGAGGTGCACCCAAAAATTGGTTGAAGTGTTGAGAGCCACTTTTTATAGAGTATCTATTAATCAGAGGAACTGATATTTCATTTAATTTCATACATTACATTATAAGTTATTTAATTTATGCATGGAAATAAACCATACCTTTTTATATAAATAAATTATATATTGAACCTGAAAACAGAGTTCCTAATATTTGTCAGTTTTATTCATTTCTCCTGTGCTCAGTAACTTGTGTAACTGATAAAGCTACAAATATATTTCTAGTGTTCCTACTGAAAAAATTGAATTTGATGCTTAATTAAATAAATATAATAGGGCTCTGTAAAAGAAATGCTAAATTTGACCCAACAAGAATATGTTCATCGCATTGAAGAATTAAACCAGGCATTAAGAGAATCTTGGGAGCAAGACCAGCGTGTTAAAGCCCTCAAGATTGGAATTCAGGTGCTATGTTTCTCTTCAAAAGTCTCAAAGATATAAAATTTAAATATTTCTGAGCAGATTTATCACAATTGCTATTGTTATGAGTATCATAATTTGTATATTTCTTTTTTAGAGTGCCAAACTTTTAGTAGATACAGCTGTTATACAGTTCTATCCGAGTAAATTTGTTCTAATTACAGATATATTGGACAACTTTGGTAAGCTGAAAATTCCAATAAAATTATTTTTTAGTAATTTGAGATTAAAACAGTTTTTTACGATTTAAGATTAAATAAATATGTTGTTTAGAACTGTTTGAGAACTATTGTTGTCTTATTCTATGTGATCAAAGCTGACAAGGATATTTCAGTGAGTCTGGATTATGATTCTAAAAATCTGCTTTACCAACTCTGTAGAAATTGAGTAAAATTTATAAGTCACACTATTATTAAACAGCTGAAAGGGGCAGACTTATTTAACCATTTGCACTAAAAAGACATGCCACGCACGTCGAGATGCTTTTGTCTCAAACCGCGTGCAAAAATGAAAATAATGTGGTGCACACGTCGTCTAACAAAGAGATTGTTTATTTCTTGAGTTACAGCTCTGGATTGCATTCGCAGACGCGGAGCAATGTAAATGAGACACTTTACCGCTTGTTATATTGTAGTGCACGGCACCGCAACCGTGAAGTTTAGTCATAGCGCAAGTGGTTAATTATGTTGTTATTGTTATTATTACTATAAAGTTAATTTCTTTAAAGTGTATTTCACTTAATGAGGTATATGTAAAGAGCAAGTTCATTTGAAATTCAATTTAATGGTAGGATACTCTCTCTCTCTCTCTTTTTTTTTTTTTTTTTTAAATCAGCATTTTTAAGTGCAAATGCATGTGGCACTTACAGATTGTTTTTCAATTTTGTTTATCATTCTTGCTATCACAATCCAGTTTGATAGATGTATTACAATGTAAAAATAAAATCTCAATATCTTTGTTAGGAATGCAGTTGATTGATCTTTAACATTATTTCATTTAACCTAAAAAGGATTTATAACGTAATTATTTTTAACTTTATATCTTAATCTTTAAATAAGTAGGTGATGTGAAGTTACACTAATTAGTCGTTAAGAATGCTCATAACTCAAAACAATTTTTTTAATTAATTGCTCAAAAAAAAAAAGATTTTTTTTTTTTTTAGTCATATGCAGAAGACTTCCTTTTAGCTAGCAGCTACGGGACCTCATGGATTTCAGATAAGATATATTTCTGGATAACTGAATATATATTTCTAGAACTTGCACGTTCATGTTTTATGATGTCATCTGTAGTAATTGCAGCATGTGAAGTTCAGTGGTGTTTTTTTGATCTGTTGGCCATGATTAAGAAAGTAATATAAAAAATTGTACAAGTTAATTAAAACACACACACATGATTCTATATTTTAGAAAGATAAGTTAAAAATTGCCATGTTTGTTATTATGTGAAAGTTATGAATTTCTTAATGTGATTACATATAACTTCGAATGTTTATTTGCTTAAAAGCTATTTGCGTAGTTTTAAAAATTTGCTGTATATACAATAAAGCTTCAAATCTTATGAAAGTCTGCATTCTTTCATTTGATGAAATGTACATATATATATGTAAAATATAAAAAAGTACGATGGCTTTGCTCTTTGTGAACACGAAACCTTTAATTAACTTTCTGCAATTCAGGATCTTCCTCCTAGACCAGTATCTTCCAGAACATTCACACCTATTACATAACCGCTTCTATAAATACTGAGTATGTGCCATTTTGCGTCAGAAGCTTCTCTTTCCCTGTGCTGCTAGGACCTATGCTGCTACGCTTCTCATCTTTCTTTCTTTCTTTGTTAGAATGTTATGACGCAGAAAGTCAAAATTTAATTGTACTTAGTAACTCATTATTGAATATGTAATTTGGAGAACTAGGTCGGAAAAGGAAATTGATGTGCTATTTGAATTAAATATGTGCAACTAAAAGTGAAATTCCTCTGTGTGTCGTCATTGGATATACTCCTTACCACTCTGCAAAAAGCCATACCTGAACTTTGATTTCAACCTTCACCACGATTGCTAAAATATCACATATATATATATATCATTTTATGAAAAAATTAATTAGTAACTTAATTAATCAAAATTCTTTTGTGTTCTTAAAATGTACCTATATAAATGTGCAATAACTCTATTCAAAAATGCAATTGTTTTAAATTTTATTCAGTTTTGCTGTTGTTATTCCATAAATAGGCCATCTACTCATAGTCTAAACATGTATATGCTTTAAGAAAAGTTCTTTCTCTTTTCTTTTGTGTAGGTAACCTTGTCTACCAAAGAATCCATTCTAAAGCAGAACATCATAAACCAGGCAGTAAAAATCCTACTCCTTTACCTGGTTAGTTTTTTAGGTTTCTAACTATTGACTTTTTAATTTTATGAGAAATTAATATATTTTGTGTCTATTATTTTATATTTTCTTCTTATGTTTTCTCAGCAAAAATTTATTTGAATATTTTGGATTCTATTTCATTTCAGAATGTTTCACTCCTGATCAAGTTCCTGAATCTGCAAAGGAGACATGTAGAAATTGGTTTTTTAAAATTGCATCTATACGAGAACTGATTCCAAGATTCTACATGGAAACAGCTATATTAAAATCATATAGTTTTCTAACACAAGGGTAATTGTTTAATAAATAACAGTCATCATACACAGGTTGCATTTCATTCCCTGCTAGTTAATGTTAGTAAATTGTGATTTAATTTTTTCATAACTTTTATAGCAATAATGAAAAAAATGTTGAGATTGTATATATATTCTTTTCAGCTCGTTCTCAAATGAGTAGCTAATTTTTTTATGTATATTATAATCATGAAGTATCTGTGATGATTAAATAGAGAGTATTGTTACGAATTTGGTATTTAAAAAGCTAATTTAAAAATCGGATTTAAAAATCTAAAACGAAGTTGTTAAATAAAACTCTGCTTAAAAAAACAGTTACATAAAAAATAAACTTCCTCTTTTATCGATTAATAATCAACATTCTAAGCATTCGTCATTCATTCGAAACTATTTTCTGTAACCATAATGTTTTACATTTTGTATTCACGTGTATATAAATTTATACATATTTAAATGACTAAAACATCGGAGTTACCTTCTAATAATTATATTCTTGTCGATCGAGTAGCAACTCAAGGTATAATTTCTGACAGATACTGAAAGTTTTCTGGGGAAAGTATTTTTCAATAAAAGATAAAGGCAAATTGTACATTTTGGTATCAAAACAATCGGCGCAACTAAGAACTATTATTAAATGCTGAAATGAACTTTTGGAATAAGAATAAGACAGTATTTAACTTATTTTATCTCTTTACTTATTTTATCCTGAGTTGAGTTGAGTTGAGAGCAGAATCTGGACACCCGTGCGGCTTACTAAGACTATTCGGGTCTAGTCCAGGTTCCGCAACTATCCGGGGCAACACCTCATGGGGCCTATAAGGGCATACATTGGTCCTGTATACATGCTTACATAGTTCATAGCATATGCTTATAGTTACATAGTTCATAATATATTGTTACGAATTTGGTATTTAAAAAGCTAATGTTAGTTCAATTATAAATTAAATGGTTTTATTTCTCGCGCAGTGCAGCGCGTGACGAATATTAAAAGAAAGCTAAGCCGAAAAAAAATTAAAAATACAAGAGCGCGTGCGTTAAATAAATAAATATCTCTTTTTGATTTCGAGAAAGTGCTGGAAAATTCTAGCGCGTGATTTTAAAATCTTATAAAAGGAGGAAAACATCTCAGTTTGTAGTAGTTGCTTAGTTTGTTGTTGTTTAGAAAACTGCTGTTGTTGATTGTAGCGAATTCGCGGATTAGCGTTCTTTAGCTGTTTTGAATTACGTTCTATTGGACATTTGAGTAGTTAAAAGATAACTACTGTGAGATATTGTAATACTGCATGATAATTTGAGAAAATTTAAGCATTTTTGTTGTGATAATAATAAATTTTGTTCATTTTTCATCGGACTTGTGCATTCATTTCATAACGAACCCGTACGCACGCAACAATTTTTGGTGTCAGAAGTGGGATTTGAATGCCAATAACAAGAGCGATGGAAGAGCAATTAAGGCAGTTGATCTCAGCCTTTGCCTCATTTAAAGAAGAAATGAAATTGGGGGACAGGAATCCGTTAAGGACGAAATGAAAGCCATTCAAGCTGGTCAAGAAAAGTTTTGAAGCAAATAAAGTCAAGAAGGATTTGAAAAGAGAAATTACCTGCATAATAGAAAATACCTAATTCTGAAGCTATGGAAGGCAGAATTGACACAGTTGAAAATAAAGTTGGACAAATTGAAGAAAAGTTTCTTTCCGTAAAAGATCAAATTGAAGAAAGAGTTTCTTCGGTGAAAGAAGAAATAGAAAAAAAAGTTTCTTCTGTAAAAGAACATATAGAAAGGAGAGTTTCTTCGGCTGTGGAGGAACGAAATTGAAGGATGAGAGTTTGTGCCGTCCAACACCAAGTCGAACAACAAATTGATGAGAGAGTTTCTGCAGTTGCGACCAAGAAGTTGAAACTTTAAAGAAATTCGTAGCGAACGGCAGGGAGCAATTCGAATGATGATTTTAAATTCTTACCGATGCCTGCTCGTCCATTTCTGAAGCTATCCACATATGATGGGAAGACATCCTGGCAAGTGTACAAGACCCAGTTTTCTATCGTTGCGGGGCCCACCAGCGGCCGAGCAGTAAAGTCGCTGAACACTGGTAGTTCGGCCCGAGGTTCGAATCCCGCGAACGGGCTGGCTGCATGGGCGTTTTCGTGGTTTTCCCCATGTGTAACGTGTATACGAGCCAGTTTCCCTTAGAAAGTCCTCCACGAAGGCATCCCTCCTGTTAGGCAGATAGCCCTCGAGGCTTTGCCATAATCACACACACACACACTCTATTGTTGCGGATGCGAATGGATGGGATTCCCAAGCTAAGGCCTGTCATCTCGCCGCTTCTTTAAGAGCCGACGCAGCGGATATCCTTCAGACTCTTCCCGAAAACAAAAGGTTGATTTCGAAGCTCTGTCCGGCGCATTGGAGCTGCGCTTTGGCGAGAAATGTTTAAAAGACTACAGCAGGCTTCAATTAAAATCCCGTCAACAGAAGCCCACCGAATCACTTCAGGAGCTCGCCACGGATGTTGAAAAGGCTGTCACCATCCTCGCCTTTACGGAGTGCCCGACAGAAACAAGGGAAATCCTGTCCCTGCAATACTTTATCGATGGCATCCGGGATACCCGAAATACAGAAAGGCTCTACGAATGGCGGATGTTAAAGATTTAAAAAGCGCTTTAGTGTACGCCATGAAATTCGAGGCAGCCCAGCAAGCCACTCGTCGAGACCGCCACCCAGTGAGAGCTGCTCAAGTCCAGCAGCCAGGGGAATCAAGTCACTGCTCGTCTAGACGATTTAACTAGACAACTCAACGCCTTGAGACGGAATATTGGTGAGAAGAAACCGACCGTTAAGTGCTGGAACTGCGGTGCTGAAGGACACATACGACGAAACTGCAGAATACACCCCAGGGCACGGATGTTAAGACCGCTCCTAGCAAGCAGCAGGGAAACTAATTAGTGGCCATCTCGTGGGGCGGAGGTTGCCAGATAATGAAAAGCCCAGTTTAAAGCGCTTCAGATTTCTGCAGTGAGAGAATGGACTTTTCATAATAGGACATATTAATGGAGTTCCCTGCAATATGACAATAGATACAGGAGCCAACGTTACCATCATCCGAAAAGATTTGGCTCAACAACTTGGGAAAGCAAACTTATCTGGACGCCGCCCTGCGTTACCCTACCAGACTGTGTCCGGTGAGAAGATCGATATCGAATGGGAAAGTAAACGTTAATATCACGGTTTGGAAGTGCCGCTTACCATCACATAGGCATATGTAGCAGAGATTACAGATCTTGCATACTCGGATTGGACTTTCTTAAGGAAATACAATTTTTCCTTGGACTTTAAAAATAACGAATTGCATTCTGCGTCTGAGGACATAACGTATATTTGGAATTAATAATGAAAGAAGTTAAATCTGTCCACAGAATCATAGCACAAGACAATATCACAATACCGGCAAGAACAGAAATTTTACTTCCTGGATCTATAGCCGAAAACAGAGATTTCCGCTACGGCATCATAGAATATCCCAATAACTGTAATAGCCCGAAAGGAGTACTAGTAGCCTCAACACTCGTCGACTTATCGAGAATGGTTATTCCCGGTGAGAGTTGCCAATGTAACTGAGAAGGCGAGAGTTATTAAGAAAGGCGACGTGGTTGCAGCATGTACTCCAGTAACCAGCGTTGAAAGAAAGAGCAAACATCCAAGAATCCCGTGTCCTCATCAGAGAGCATTACATCGGAGTTATTGCAGAATGCGCAATTAAACGATGAAGAGAAGAATGCTGCCGATCGCGTCATTAAAGATCTTCAAGTTGTTTTCTCCCGCTCGTCTTCTGACGTGGGTCGAACTAGTTTGACGCAACATAGAATAGATACAGGCGATCATCCCCCGATCAAGCAACATCCAAGACGTCCTACCGTTTGCTAAACAGGAAGAGGTGCGAACACTGTTAAAAGGATATGGAAGAAGGCGATGTTATCGAGCCTTCAGCAAGTCCATGGGCATCTCCCATCGTTCTTGTCAGAAAGAAAGACGGCTCAACAAGATTTTGCGTTGACTATCGCCGGTTGAATGAGGTTACGAAGAAAGACAGTTACCCTCTTCCTAGAATTGACGACATTCTAGGACACTCTTTCTGGAAGCAAGTGGTTCTCAACACTTGATTTAAAGAGTGGGTATTGGCAGGTAGAAATACAGCCCTGATGACCGAGAAAAGACGGCATTTACTACGGGACAAGGGCTTTGGCAATTCAAGGTGATGCCGTTTGGACTGTGTAATGCGCCGGCAACATTCGAACGTCTTATGGAGACTGTTTTGAAAGGCCTTTCCTACGAAGCCTGCCTGATATACCTGGACGACATCATCATCGTCGGAAAGAGTTTTGAAGAACATTTAGAAAATCTTACTTAGGAAGGTGCTTCAGAAACTGAAAGAAGCCAATCTGAAGCTGAGTCCCGCTAAATGCAAATTGTTCCGAAAGGAAGTGACTTACCTGGGACATGTCATCTCTGCAGAAGGTGTGCGCACGGATCCTGAAAAGGTATCAGCGGTTAAATCCTGGAAACGTCCCGAAAATGTCCATCAGCTGAGAAGCTTCCTAGGGCTTTGCACCTACTATAGGAGATTCGTGAAGGACTTTTCTTCCATCGCAAGACCCCTTCACAAGCTGACAGAGAGCAAGCAAAGATTCTTGTGGACAAAAGAATGCGAGGATGCATTTAACAACTTAAAGGAGGCTTTAACATCTGCTCCAATCCTGACGTATCCTCAGCTCGACCGACCATTTATTCTCGACACCGGACGCGAGCAATGAAAGTGTCGGTGCTGTTTTGTCCCAAGAAATAGACGGCCAAGAACGTGTAGTGGCGTACTGGAGCAAGTGCCTGTCTAAACCGGAGAGGAATTACTGTGTCACCAGGAAAGAGTTGCTCGCCATAGTCAAAGCTGTAGAACATTTCCATCATTATCTATATGGCAGAAAATTCCTGCTCCGCACCGA